GGATGAAGAGCCGGTCCTGGGGAAGGGGTCGGGACTTCCAGGGACCCCGTCCTGAAAGCTCCGGACGTCGTATGTCTGGGAAGGTGATACGCCACCACCGCCTCCCTCCTCCCCTCCCTCTTCCTCGGAGAGAGGGAGAGGAAGATGAGGGTGGACGAGGGAGGGGGGATGGATCTGGGCCTCCTGGATGGGGTCGGAGGATCGCGCCGCATCGCCGAGGCATCGCCGATGCGGCTCGATGCAGAGCCCGACTTGCGACCTCCTTCAAGCGCACGTCGCCGATTCATCGCCCCAGTCGACGATGCGTCGGCAGTGCATCGCCGGTGCATCTCCGATGCATCGGCGATGCGGTGCGATCCGCCGACCCCATCTACAGTCAACCCGCATAGTATGGATGGGCAACCTTCCCAAGGGTACCCTCGCATCCTTGCCTCCTCAGTCCATCCTCGGCCACTTTCATCGTTGGCAGCGCCCCGCTCGAGAAGCTTCGATGTGGCCTTTAAGGCACGTGCATCCTCATCGCGCATCCTTACTGTACTGGTTGACTCCACTCCGACCCCAGACATGCGACGTCCTGATTTTTTCCATACGGGGTCCCTGGAAGTCCCGACCCTTTCCCCTGGACCTGCTTTTCGTCCTGAGTCGTTTTTTGACGGTCCCGAAGCCCGGCGAGGGCCCCCCGAGGCCGACATTGGCCAAGACCTTCCGTCCTGATTTTTGCACGACGCGACCATGTCTGGGACCCCACCTGGAGGCCTCTCATGGAGGCGGCGGTGGAGTGCAAGCGACCGGGGCCCGCACAGGTCCTCCTCCGAGCCCGCGCCGCGGCGCCGCGGCGCCCGCGCCGACGGACGCGCACGGGGGGGCCGGTCGCGCGGCCGCCGCGGCCACCGGGGCCGTCGGCCTCGTCGTCGCCGGGGCGGAACTCCTAATGGGAAGGGCCCTGCACCGGAGGGACCTTTTGGGTCCCAGACCCCCTCGGGCAATAACAAAAATCACGACGGGAGGTTTCTCGCTATCTTCGGCCTCGGGGGGCCCTCGCCGGGCCTCGGGACCGTCAAAAAACGACGCAGGATGAGAAACGGGTCCAGGGGAATGGGTCGAGAGCTCCAGGGGTCGACGCAATGAAACAGTCATGACGTCGGGGGTCTGGGGTGCGGGCTCACTGAGGTCCCCGACCGCCGAGCGCGACGCGATAGTGGCGTCTTGCGCGCTCGTGTACGGTCCCCCCCCTGCCGCCCCCAAGAAGCCGCGCGCACCAGAGGTCACTCTTATACCGGGGGTCACTCGTGGGCGCAGCTGAGTCGCCCCCCTCCCCTGAGAGCTTGGCGCTGAGCGCTGGTCGCTTGGGGGAGGGGGTGGTGTATATTGCGAAGGCCTTACGGCCGGTGCCGCCGACCCTGAAGACGAAGCTGTCTGTGACGCCGTGAAGGCCGAAACGTCGTATGTGCTGGAAATGTAAGTTTCCGGTGGAAAAGTAATGAGTGTGGCCTCTTGGGCCTTTCTTGGGGGTGCTCTTGGAGGGGGCCTGGGACGTTTTGGAGGCTTCTTGGACGGTCTTGGGGCTATCTTGGGCGTCTTCGGCCGATCTTTGGGCGACTCGGGGCACTCTTGGGCCGTCTCAGGGGCCATCTTGAGCAGTCGGACCTCATTTGGAGTGTTTTCGAGGTTTCGAGGCCGCCCGAGGAAAAACGAATCTGCCCCCCCACCCCCCCCCTCCACCCCCCCACACACACACACCCGGGACCCCCCCCCCACCCCCCCCGTGACCCCCCCCCCCTGGGGAAGGGATCAAAGGGAAGGGGCTTCCCTTCGAATCGACAACGGCATGACGGCAGGAGGGTACGGGGGAAGGAAGAAGGGGGGGCGGCGAGGAACGGACGAGGAAGCCCCTCGCACACGCCGACAGGGTCGGCGGATTAATAAGGAACAGTGATGGACCCCTTCCTCCCCGAAGGGGGAGACGGGGGCTGGATAAGAGAACTCGCTGAACCGCTCCGGTCCTCAAGGTCTGGTGGGCCCCCGATGTGATGGATAGACCCCTTCTCGATGGGGAGGAAGGGGGCTGGATAAGAGATCTCGCTAACTCGCTCACGCCCTCCAAGGCTGGTGGGCCTCCGATATCGTTCGAGGCCTCTGCGGGGGACCCCGGGGAGGCCGGCAAGCCCTCCGCAGCAGAGACAGCTGGGTCGCCCCAATGGGGTGCCGGGGCTGACGGGCCCCCGATGTCGTTCGAGGTCTCTGCGGGGGACCCCCCTGGGAGGCCGGCAAGCCCTCCGCAGCAGGGACAGCCGGGTCGTTCCAGTGGGGTGCCCGGGTCGGGTCGGCCACACCCTCTCCCGCTCCTCCACGGCAAGTGGCCCCAAGGAACCCCGCGGGTTCCAGATCAAATCTACACAATGCGCACTCGTAGCAACACGAACATATAAACGCAAACAAATGCCTCCCATCCGGCGGCAAGTGAGCTCACCTGGCGCGAACAGATTTTATCCCAGATCGGCGCACCGAATGGGCTCCACTTATTCATTCCTCATGCGTTGAATGTGGTCAAGCTCATTGGGCGTCGAGGTTCATTCCCGAACATCGCACATTTGTGTGCTGCATCGCGCTGACGATAGGGCCCCACGCAACGCGCCGACCGAGCTCAGAAGGGAACCAGAGGGAGGTCTCGCCTTTCGCCCTGGGGGGCGTGCAGTCTCGCCCTGGCGTCGCCCTTCTCCCGCCTCCTCCGTGGCCGCCTTCTTCTGTCTCCCGCCGGGTTGCGCACAATTCGCCCAGGAGCACCCCTCACCACCCACCAAACCACCCCACCCCAACCCGGAGGCCTCATTTTGCGCTCCATCTCCAGTGGGGAGGGGGTCGGGGAACATCGAAAAAAACACACGAAGCCCGTACTATTCCCCCCCCCCACCCGGAATTCGGGTCAATCTCGGGCCTTCGGGTTGGGTTGGGGTGTTCTGGAAGGTATAGTCAGCCCCAGCCTGGGCTGCGGAGGCGGTGCGCGTGGGCCACCGCTGCGACGCAACAGTCCGTCCTGTGGGCCCCGTGGCGGCCCCAGGCGCCCGCGCCCGGAAGGCAGCCCCCGCCCCGGGGAGGCCGACGCGTCGAGATGGGGCCCCCCCGCGGGAGACTCTGGACAGGAGCCCGCGGCGCCGCAGGCCACCCAGACCCCCTCGGGCAATAACAAAAATCACGACGGGAGGTTTTTCGCTATCTTGGGCCTCGGGGGGCCCTCGCCGGGCCTCGGGACCGTCAGAAAACGACGCAGGATGAGAAACCGGTCCAGGGGAATGGGTCGAGACCTCCAGGGGCCGACGCAATGAAACAGTCATGACGTCGGGGGTCTGGGCACCGCGCTCCCGCGGGCGCGGGGCGCCCTCCCTCGAAGAAGAAACAACGCCAGAGGCGTAAATTTTCGGCGCTCCGCGCGGATTCCTTGGATCCGCGCTGGGCCCCCTGGCGGCGCCTCCGGCCCGGCTTCTGGCGCGCGGAGCGCGCCAGGGAGGGGGGTCCAGCGCAGATCCAAGAGACCCGCGCGGAGCGCCAAAGGTTTATGTTCATGTCTTTGATCCCCTTCTACTCCCCCGGACAACGGCCTGGGCGCGTATGGGGGAGACCGCGGGTGCCCGTGAGTTCTGAGGTCGCCCGCTCTTCTGGCCTCCCAGGCCTGGAAGGAGAGCCTCGGCACACTCTGCCGGGCCGTTGCGCCGATGGGGTCAGCGAAAGCGGGTAGACGGTTCTCTTTAGTTCTTTCTGTCTTTCTCTCCCTCTCTCTTTCTCTCTCTCTCTCTCTCTCCTTCTCTTTTTTCATTCCCCCCCCCATCCGTCACTCTCTCTCTCTCTCTTTATTTCTGTCCTGCTCCTCCTCTTGTGCCTCCTCCCTGCCTCTTCTCTTCCTCCTCCCCTTCGCTGCCCTCCCTCCCTCTCCCCTTCTCCTCCTTCGTTCCTCCGCCCCCGCCCGCTGGAGCCCCCGGAGCCCGTACGTCTGGACGTCTGGGCCTCCTGTCCACGAGAGGCGGCGGGAGCGGGCTCCTGCCGTTCGGGGTTCCAGGTCTGACGACATCGCGACGAGGGGTGCTCCCTCGAGTTCTGTGCGTTCCCAAGCGGCGGTGCCTCAACACCTGGGGGAACAAAAAGTGGCATAAACATAAAAACTCGGAGGTCCGCGCGGATTTCTCGGATCGGCTCTGGCGCGCGGAGCGCGCCAGGGGCGGCGCCGGAGGCGCCGCCGGGGGGCCCCAGCGCCGATCCGAGAAATCCGCGCGGTCCTCCGAGTTTTTATGTTTATGTCACTGTTTGTTCTCCTAACACCACACCTGCAACTTCTGCGAGGGCTGTGTCTGGCGCAGCGCAGTGCGGTGTGCGTGTGTTGCGCCACGCTCAGCATCAGTGGCCGCGGCAATTCTCGAACAGCGGAGAGGCCGCAAGCCTCCGCAGTCGGCAGTTTCGGCTCCAGTGCGGGCCTGGAGGCACGCGAGGTCCGCTGGCTATCCCCGGGTGCCCGCGCCAGCGCCCCCGAGAGGAGGCTGCTGGGTGTGTGTCCTCCGCACCCAGACCCCCGACGTCATGATTTTTTCATTACGTCGACCCCTGGAGCTCTCGACTTCGACCCCTTCCCCTGGACCGGTTTTTCATCCCGAGTCGTTTACTGACGGTCCCGCGAGGCCCGGGGAGGGCCCCCCGAGGCCGAGACTAGCGAAAAACCTCCCGTCATGATTTTTTCATTGCCCGAGGGGGTCTGGGCAAGTGCCGCCACGGCGCGCGATGTGGAGCCGCTGCGCTGGCCGCGCGAGCGATGGCCAGGAAGCGCACTGGCCTCCATCGGTGGTGGCCGTCCAGCTTCGGCACGCGATGCGCCATCGTGTCCCTTGGAGCGCTGGCCGTCGTGCACTTCTGGTCGCTCGGCGTGGGCTCGGACCTTGCCGAGAGGCCCCTCCTGCGTGGAAAAGATGATGGGCCTGTTTTCCACCACCACCGCCATAAGGTGGAGGGGGGAAGGTGGTGGTGGTGGAGGAGGAGGAGGAGGAGGAGGAGGAGGAGGCAGGGAGGAGGAGGAGGAGGAGGAGGAGGAGGAGGAGGAGGAGGAGGAGGAGGACCCCCTCCCCCTCCAGCTTCTGGTGGTGCTGGTGGAAAACGAGCCCATCAGAAGACCCCGCTGAGCATCGCACTGACACGCCCAGCGCACCGCAAGCGGCCGCGCCGTCGGCGGGCCTCTCCGCTGAGCCGCCGGACGCCGGCCACCGGCAGCATGCCGCGGGTGCCGCTGAGGCGCCAGCCCTGCAGCGCACGCGGCCGGCCGCAGTGGCGCAGGCTGCCGGCGAGCCTGGCGCGTGCCGCCTGCCGCTGCCGCAGGCCGGCGCGCAGGCCCGCGGGCCCCGCGTGGGCGCCGTCGTGCCGGTGCACCCGCCGAAGTTTTACGACGCGGCCCTCTTCTTGGAGCAGTACATTCGGGCCGGACGAAAGGGGGGGTTGGGAAAGGGGGGGTTACGAAATTTGCTGCATGCAGCTGGTTTCGGCCTCACCGAGGGGCCCATTCCTTGATACATAGCCGCCTCCGGCGCCGGGAGGCGCTGGGAAAATCAGCTGCGTGAGCTGATTCTCAAACCCCCCCTTTGCTATCCCCCCCTTTCGCCCGACCCGATACATTGCCTGCCCAGGAGCTATGGCGGCCATGTCTGTTGTCCTGGTGTTCACCGACGCCGGGCACCTGGCGCTCTTCCAGGCCACCGTGGCGAACATCTCTGCCGGGGTGGTGGGTGCGATGAACTCGTTGTGGACAGCCGTGGTGGCATACGCTCTGCCTGATTTCCTGTCCAAGATGACGGACGCGACCTCCAGGAACATGAAGACAGCAGCCTACAAAAAGTGGTTTGGGATTGCGTATCTCCTCGACAATGAACCTCACGCTCCTGCCTACGGCCTGATGCTGGACGCTGACCTCCGACTGTTCAACACCTCCGACTGCAGCCTGAGTGGCCGGTGGTCAAGGCTGCTCTCGCGGATTGAGCGGAGCGAGGCCAGGAAGGAGTGGTTGGGCATACCGCACGCGAACATGACAAGATCGGACACCCGCGAGGGTGCGTGGGCCATGTCGATGCAGCGACGGGTGCTACGGGTCAATGCTGTCTGGGTCGTAGGCGGGGGCGCCACGTTCGACCGCCACTGTGTGACGGAGCAGTGCCAGCGGCTGAGGTGGCAAGTGGACAATGTATTCTTTACGTGGTGGACAGATCTGCCTTATGTCAACCTCCGTGTCGCCTCCAGGATGCTGGTCTTCCTGGGCGGCGGACGGGCGAAGCTCGAGACGGCGAACTGTAGCTTCCAGAGCCTCTCCCGGAGCCTGGAGTACACCCCGTTCGAGCACCTGGCCTACCAGCAGTGGTGTGTGCTCCACGAGGGCTTTGCCTTCCGGGACATGTCCGACGTCGTGACGAGCACCGCGAACTGGGGCTCGTTCATGGAGGGCCCTGCGGCGGGAGCTCGGTTGTCAGGAGGGAAAAAACACACAGACACAATTAATCGTCGATTCCCCAGGGAAAAAAATATGGGAAGTGGGGGGGAAGACAGAAACCTAGAAAATATGGGAAAATATGGGGAATCCTGTTATTTGTGTGTATTTATTTGTGTGTCCCAGGGCCCCTTCAGGTTGGTGGACCTGAGGCCCGGCTGGGTGTCTGCGCGGGCGCTTGCCATGGCCCAGGACGGCGAGATACCAGACCTGTCGCCTGCAGAGCCGCTGCTGCTCTTCCACATCGACCGCCAGGCCAAGGACGTCATCGTTCCCACCCGCACGGAGATGCAGAGGCGAGGCGTGAGCATCAATCTGTGATCGCCTGGCATTGCCATTCTGCGCTCGTTTGCCGGCGCGCTACCCTCCACCTTCCACCGACCTTGCTGCTTTCCCGGCCAGTGTTTTGTTCCCTCGCTGTCCCCCCCTTTCCCCATCTCCCCGTCTCCACTGAGCCACACCTTGCAGCCGATCTCTCCTGGTGCTCGGAGTCGATGTAGCGTAGACGGTGTGCTCATGGGCAGAGGACTGGCATAGCTCACCAGCCTCGAATTTATCCCATTTCAAAAGGCGATGACAATCTTAGGGATGGGCCCTGAAAAACTAAGGGAATCCATAAGACTGGCATTGTGATGAGGCGATGCCCAGCTTAGGGATCGGGATATGTTCCAGGCTGGTAAATAGCGGCCCGTGGTGTCGATGCACTCCCTCTGGGAATTCTGGCGCGCGATGCCAGAGGAGAGGCGTCCCTGAGGATCAGGGGGGCTCCTCACTTGGCGGGGAGTCGGCCTGCGATGCCTACATCCCAGACCTCCTCGATTCTTCAAAAAGTCACAACTGGAGGCCTTTCATTATGTTCGGCCACTGGGGGCTTTCGCCAGGCCGAGGGGGTCTGGGGAGGACGTCGCATGTCTGGGACTGCATAAACATAGACTTGTGGATCTCCGCGCGATTTTTCCTGGATCCGCGCCGGGCCCCTTCCATATGGCGCGCGGATCGCGCCAGCGGCGGCGCCCGAGGCGTCGCAGGGGGGACCCTGCAGCGCCGATCATCCCAGAAATCCCCGCGGAGCTCCGAAAGCATACAGTCGGGGCGTTGACCTAAGGAACCCTAAATAAGGAACGAGGCCCCTTTTTTTTCCATGAATTAAAGTTCGCTTTCCCATGGAAAACCTCAGAAAAACCCGAGGCAAACTTTGAAACAATCAAGGAACACCGAGCCCCTCCCCAACGAAAAGGGTTCCTTCTTCAGCGCCCCGACTGTATGTTGATGCAGTTTGTACTTCTTCGATGTTCGCGTGGCATCGATCTCGGCCTTTAACTACTGGTAACATGACAGCAGCTTCCAAGACCTCCAAGGATTTGTCAGTTTCAACCGCGGCGGCTGTTCCCCGAGCTCGGCCTTCGGATCCTGGAAGAGAAACTACCCTGGGGCAGCGGATGGCTGGCGATGTTGATCTTCAACGTCTGATGTAATGAAAACAGGCTGGAAGACGCCACAGGCGGGACTTGGGACATGCAGGCCCTGATCCCAGACCCACGACGTCATGATTTTTGTTCATGACGTCGACCCCCAGAGATCTCGACCCATTCCCCGGGACCGGTTTCTCACCCCGAGCCGTTTTTGGACGCTCCCGAGGCCCGGCGAGGGCCCCCCGAGGCCGAAAATTGCCAAAAACCTCCCGTCCGGATTTTTTCACGACGCAATCGTGTCTGGGGCTGCTTGCCCCTCTGTGCGCATCCCTCGGGTCCGCCAGCGGGCCCCCCGCCCGCAGGGCCGAGAGGCCTCCGCCGCCCTCCTTTATAGCCCCGCCTTGCGCTCTGCCGGAGAGGGCCAGCGAGCCCAGCTCCGGCGACGGCGCCCGGCGCCCCCCCGCACGAGAGCCGACGGCTGGCCAGCCTGGTCGAGCAGCCACCCACGCACGCCTTCCCAGATCTCCGACGATGCTGTCCCAGACAGGACCGCGTCGTGAAACAAAAATCCGGACGGGAGGTGTTTGGCAATTTTCGGCCCTGGAGGTCCTCACCGGGCCTCGGGAGCGTCAAAAAACGGCTCGGGAGGAAAAGCGGGTCCCGGGGAAGGGGTCCAGACCGCTGGGGGTCGACGTTGCGAAAAAAGATCACGACGTCGGGGGTCTGGGCTGGTCGAGCAGCCACCCACACACGCCGTCCCAGATCTCCGACGGTGCTGTCCCAGACAGGACCGCGTCGTAAAAAAAAACAAAAAAAGGAGTCCGGACGGGAGGTGTTTGGCAATTCTCGGCCCTGGGGGGCCCTCGCCGGGCCTCGGGAGCGTCAAGAAAGGACGCAGGACGAAAAACGGGTCCCGGGGAAAGGGTCGCCGCGGGGACTGTCAGGGACCCCGTCCTGAAAGAATCAGGGCGTGGCATCTCTGGGACCCACGCACGCTTTCCCAGGCCTCCGACGATGCTGTTGTCCATCCTGGCGGTGTCCCTCGCCTCTGGGGCTCGCTGGCGCGCCTGGGGGCCATCAAGCACTGACCCGGGGCGAGAAGTGGCCGTGGGGACCTCGGGGGCCACTCGTGGCCCAGGCCCCCGACGTCGTGAGTTTTTCACAGCGTCGACCCCCAGCGGCCTGGACCCCTTCCCCGGGACCGGCTTTTCATCCCGAGTCGTTTTTTGACGGTCCCGACGAGGCCCGGTGAGGACCTCCAGAGGGCGAAACTAGCGAAAAACCTCCCGTCGCGACTTTTTCACGACGCGAGGGGGTCTGGGGTGGCAAAGAACGCATCGGCAGATGTCAGGGTCGAGACGCCGCCCGGACGCTCTCGCGGTCGAGCCTCCCGCCGAGCTGCAACAGGTGTGGCCACCCGCCCGGCCGGACGCCCTGTGTTCTCCGATATGCCCGAGGCCTCCGGGTGTGCACGCCAGCGTGGCCGCCCCCGCCGACGGCACAAGACAGCCCGACGACATGAGCTGCGAAGGGTGCCCAGGCCCCTTCGGGTAATGAAAAAATCATGACCAGAGATGTTTCGCTAGTTTCGGCCTCGGTGGGCCCTCACCGGACCTCGGGACCGTGAAAAAACGAGTCAGGATGAAAAGCCGGTCCAGGGGAATGGGTCGAGACCTCCAGGGGTCGACGTAATAAAAAACATGACGTCGGGGGTCTGGGTGGTTGGCACTCGCGTGCGACACAGACAAGCGGCACGGGTCAGAGAGCCAATCTGTTGGTAAGTCGGGCCTGTCCCTCTACGGGAGGGGTATCCAAAAACAGTTAAAACATAGGATGGGGACGATTTTCTGGAAGATTGTTAGGGCTATTTTTGGATATTGTTTGACTCTTCTTTTATTTGTCTTCCAAAATCCGCCTGCAGGGGGACGCGCCCGACCTAAATCTGTGGAATGCGCCATTGGATCCCACGTCTCGGACAGCACGAGTCAACGCGGCTCCCGCCCCACCCGCGCAGACCCCGAGAGAGAGCCCCGCCCCCGCCACCATCGCGCGCTGCCCTCGCCTCGCCTCGGCCCACTTTGTCGCCTGCTCGCCGATTGAATCCCCTGTCGATCCCCTTCCCCGCCAGAGCACCTTACAGTTAAGTCGAGCCTGTCCCTTTACAGGGGGGATATTCAAGGATAGTCTGGGGACGATTTTTGACACTATCTTTGAGTTGTTTGGGATTGTTTTGACGACTTCCAATTCGATAGAGGGAAACAAGTACTGACCCCCCCCTAAACTCAATGTTGGCACGCGCGGGGGAGACTGGGGTCGAAGTGCATCTCATCAGACCCACCGCCAACTTTGAACGCTGGGGAGGGGGAGGCGTTGACAGATGATGTGGCAGGAGTGTTCTCTAATTTGTTCCGCCTGTAGGGGGACATGCCCGACCTAACCTTACAGCTTCCATTTCGATCCGATCGATCCGATCCGATCCCGATATTCCGATATTCCGATGTTCCGACCACCCGATGCGGCCCGATGCTGGCATAGCGCTCGTGTGCCTCCCGGCGCAGCCGATCCGGTTCGACTTCGCTTCCGGCGGGCCCACGCGGCCCGATCCGAGGCACGCTGCAAAGCTACCCGGTGTATCGTCTCGGCGAAAGGCGGATCCTCACCAGCCTCGAACTTATCCCTATCCCTAAGATTGACACGCCAAAAGGCGATGACAATCTTAGGGATTCGCCCTGAAAAACTACGGGAATCCCTGAGATTGGCATTGTGTCGAGGCGATGCCCAGCTTAGGAATGGGGATATGTTCCAGGCTGGTAAGATCCTGCCTCGGAGGGCCCCCCCCGGGCCTCTTGGCAGGCCTGCCCCGTGGAGGAGGGCCTGCTGCGCCCCACCCCCCGCGGGGCGCCCCATGGCCTGGCATCGCTCGGACGTGTGCAATTTTCCTTCGGCGAGGACCATCGAGGAGCATCCTTGATCATTTGGCGAAAAAGCCACGCACGAAACCAAACAAAAAAAAAACAGGGAATGGACGTCCGAGCGATGGCAAGATGGGGCCGTCGTTGCCGCTCCCTGGGCCCTGCCGCCGCCGCTGCTGCCCCAGACATTTTTCAAGTCGCGGCCGCCAGCGAAAGCGCATGGGGCGTCCGAAAGGTCGAACGGGCTACGCGCGAGCCTAATTACACAGCGACCGAGCGCGGGATCAGAACCAACCGCCGGGGGGGCAGCTGGCTGAAGCTGATCTGGCTGAGCTGCCCCAGACAGGCGGCGTCCTGATTTTTCCATCGCGGGGCCCCTGGAAGCCCCGAGAGCCCTTCCCCGGGGCCGGCTCTTCGTCCCCCTGAGTCTTTTTTGGTTCCGCTCCCGCGGCCCGGCGAGGGCTCCCCGAGGCCGAGCACGGCCAATCGTGTCCGCGGACGTGCTCGCTGCTCGTGGGCTTCCCTCCTCCGCCGCCCCGTCGTCGTCCGGGGGCCCCGCCGTGCGGGGCGCCGCTCCTCTCCTGCCCGAGAGGGCCCCCCCCCTCGCGCGGGGGCCCTTCTGCTGCCGCTCCGAGCTTCCCAGACCCCTCGGGTAAAGAAAAGAATCATGACGGGAGGTTTTTCGCCATTTTCGGCCTCGGGGGGCCCTCGCCGGGCCTCGGGGCCGTCAGAAAACGACACGGGATGAAAGACCTGTCCAGGGGAATGGGTCGAGACCTCCAGGGGTCGACGTAATGAAACAATCATGACGTCGGGGGTCTGGCTCTCCTGCCGCACACAGTCGGCCCGCGTACAGTGAGGATTGTGCCCTTGCGTCCTTGCCTGAAGTCGGGCACGTCCCTCTACAGGGGGAATGCTGAACGAATGCGATTTCCCGACTATTGTTAACTATTGTCAGGTAATAATTGGATGGACTATTCTTCATCTTCCGACCCAAATCCTCCTGTAGGAGAGAAGGCCCGCGCCTTCTAAGAGAAGCAGGGGTGCTTCTAAGAAGCCCTCCCCCCTCCCCCCTTCCCCCCCTCTGCGCGCCGCCAAGCAAGGCCCCTCGCAGCCTTTCCTCGCGCCCCCTTCCGACGCGGGCCGAGACTGTCGCGGCCCCGCGGCCGAGGCCCCCCGGCCGCGGCAGCCCTGGCAACGCGGGAGACCCGGACCCCTCTCCCGCGCCGCGGTGACGCCCACCGCGGCGGGCGGCCGCTGCCGGTCGTCGGCCTCCGGCGGGGCGGCCCTCGGCCGGGCCCGGGCACCGTGCGGACCTCCCCCGGCAGCCCGCCGCCCGCCTCGCCGCCCGCGGCGCGCTCTCGCCCAGAGGCCCCTCGAGGCAGAGGTCCGACGCCTCCGCCCTGGATATGTCTCCTCTCTCCGCTCCGGATGTTTCCCCATCCAAGGTTCCCATCGGGGGCCCCCACACGGTGTGGTGACCACACCGTGCGGCGAGTCGGTGAGGACTCGGGGTCACCGCACGGCTCTGGGACCCGGGTCGTGCTCCGAGGGCGTCTCGGGCGACGGGGGCCTCCGAGGTCCCAGGACCGTGCGGTGACGGAGCGTGCGGTGAGGTCTTGGGGGATTTCTAAGTCACCGCAGGGTGTGTCACCGCACCGTTTCGGGACTCCGAAGCGAGGCTGGGCCAGCGGCCAGGGGCAGCGAGGAGGAGAAGGCGGAGGGAGAAGGACGATCGGGAGGAGAAGGAGAGGGGAGGGAGACGAGCACGGAGGAGGAGGAGGAGGAGCAGGAGGAGGAGGGAGAAAGAGGATGGAGAAGGGAGGGGGATGAGCACGGAGGAGGAGGAGGAGGAGGAGGAGGAGGGGAGGAGGGAGGAGGAGGGATGGAGGGAGGAGGAGGAGAAGGAGGAGGAGGAGGAGGTGGAGGAGGAGGAGGAGGAGGAGAGGAGGAGGGGGGAAGACGACGAGCGCTTGTTTGTCGGGACTGCCAGGGGGGCGGCCGTATGGAAACATCGGGAGGAGGCGCCGTTTTGCTCGGAGGCCTGAGACTCCCTTGCTCGGGCTTCAGCTCCTCCTCCATGACCGCCCCGAAGTCTGACGGAGAGCCCCCTCAGCTGCTAGGTCGAGGAAGAGGAGGAGGAGGAGGAGGAGGAGGAGGAGGAGGAGGAAGAGGAGGAGGAGGGAGGGAGGAGGAGGAGGAGGAGAGGAGAAGGAGGAGAAGGAAGGAGAAGGTGGAGGAGGAGGAGGAGGGAGAAGGAGGAGGAGGAGGAGGAGAGGAGTAGGAGGAGAGGAGAGGAGGAGGAGGACGAGGAGGAGGAGGAGGAGGAGGAGGAGAAGGAGGAGGAGGGAGGAGGAGGAGGAGAGGACGAGGAGGAGGGAGGAGGAGGAGGAGGAGGAGGAGGAGAGAAAGAGAGGAGAAGGAGGAGGGTTGAGGAGGAGAGGAGGAGGAGAAGGAGCTGGAGGAGGAGGAGGAGGAGAGGAAGAAGGAGGAGGAGGAGGCGGGGGGAGGAGGATGAGGAGGAGGCTTGGTCTGTAGATCGATCGATCAGTCGGCCGCGCTCCTGCGGTTCTCGAGCGGACGTTGCGGCCTCCGTGCGCTCCTGGGCCTGCGACAGTGCCAGGCTTTGCCCCGCTGCTTGTTGTCACGAGGGTGCGTGGTCCGAACGCCCCCAGAGAGTGCGGTGACCACACCTGCTCCTTCTCCTCCTCTTCCTCCTCCTCCTCCTCCTCGTCCTTTTCGTCCTCGTTCTCCTCATCCTCCCCTTCCTCCTCTTCCTCCTGCTCCTCGTTCTCCTCCTCCTCCTCCAGTGTTTTGGTGACCGCACGGTTCTCGGGCGATTGGGGCTTCCAAGGCCCCAAATTCCTGCAGCGACGGACCGTACGGGAATTCCGCCGCCGCCGTATGGTATGTCACCGCACCGTTCCGGGATCCCAAAGTTTTGCTTCAGAATCTTTTAGTGTTTTGCAATGCCTCGCCCCCGAACGTCCTCACAAGCTCCCCAGTGCCAGTTTCCCAAGTTACGTAGTTGTCGTTTGCTCGGGCCCGGCGATGGCCCCCAGAGGTTGCACAGGAAGTCGATTCGCTTTTGTTCGTCTGTCAATGCGCTGGGATGTCTGGGGAGTCTCCTCTGCCCGCCCCGCCCCGCGAGGACGGTCCCGGAGGGAGCGCAAGATGACCATCAGCAGGCTGCGGCATGCCCTCCAGACGCCGATCGCGGCAGCAGGTGGCTCGAGGGCGCAGACCAAAGAGGCGGGCGCTCGCGCGCGCTCTGCCTCTCGCGCTCTGAGAGGAGGAGGAGGAGGAGGAGGAGGAGGAGGAGGAGGAGGAGGAGGAGGAGGAGGAGGAGGAGAGGAGAGAGGAGGAGAGAGGAGGAGGAGGAGGAGGAGAGAGGAGGAGGAGGAGAGGAGGAGGAGGAGGAGGAGGAGGAGAGGAGGAGGAGGAAGAGGAGAAGGATGACAAGGAATGAGGGAGGAGGAGGATGAGGGGATGAGGGGAGGAGGAGGAGGAGGAGGAGGAGGAGGAGGAGGAGGAGGGGGAGGGGGAGGAAAGGTGGAGGACGAGGAGAAGGAGGATGAGGAGGACGAGGATAAGGAGGACGGAGAGGGACGAGGAGGAGGAGGTGCAGGAGGAAGGAGGCGGATGAGGAGGAGGAGGAGAAGGAGGAGGAGGAGGAGAGAGGAGGAGAGGAGAGAGGAGGAGGGGAGGAAGAAGGAGGAGGAGGAGGAGGAGAGGAAGAGGAAGAGGAGGAGGAGGAGGAGGAGGAGGAGGAGGAGGACAATGATGAGGGAGGAGGAGGAGGAGGAGGAGGAGGAGGAGGAGAGAGGAGGAGGAGAGGAGGAGGAGGAGGGAGGAGGAGGGGGAGGGGGAGGAAAGGTGGAGGACGAAGGAGGATGAGGAGGACGAGGGTAAGGAGGACGGAGAGGACTTGCAGGAGGAGGTGCAGGAGGAGGAGGAGGAGGATGAGGAGGAGGAGGAGAAGGAGGAGGAGGAGGAGGAGGAGGAGGAGAGCGAGGACGAGGAGAACAAGGAGGACGAGGAGGAGGAGGAGTAGGAAGAAGAGGAGGAGAAGGAGGAGGAGGAGGACGAGGAGGACGAGGAGCAGGAGGAGGAGATGGATGAGGAGGAGGATGCACTGGAGACTCTGAATGACGACGAGGTGTGCCGAGGACGATGCACCAGGCCAAACAACAGTACTCATAATCTCGTCGAACGCTCAGCGAACGACTCAAGCGAAAATCGGAACAGGCCTCTTGAAACCATTACCGACTTTCTCTCCTGAAGGGCCCCGCCCCTGGATGAGGTACCTTCTCTTGAAGTGCGTCGCGGACCCCAGGGGCGGTCTCCCCAAACACGGTTTGGAAATCAAACAACGCCCTAGACACACATTTGGCGGCGCATTCCAAACACCAAACCATTGGTCCAGTGCGCCAAAGCTTATGGGACGGGTGCGCTTCTCGGACCCCTTTGGGATCCCCAAGACACGGAAGGCGCGCGAGGTCTCCACGACGAGCACAACAATCTCCGCACCTCCCGCACACCCATCGTCCCTTAATCCTGTGAATTACATGGCCTCCGTCCTCGCTTAGGACGGCATGAGTCCCGCGCGCGGGTCTTCCTCCACTCACTTGCTGGACGTCCTTCCAACCGCCTGTTTGACAAAGCCGCAGAATGCGCAGCACACACTTCAAAGTCAACGGTGCAGCCGCCTCGCGCATCTTCCGCAACTTCTCATTGGACTTCTCGCGGGGATGGCAGTCGGCGCCCAGCCTTGCAACATAATCTGCACTCTTGTTACCTGTCCACTAGGTCAAGCAGACTCCTTGGTCGATGGCCCTGGTCCTTGACATGTGCGAAGGAATCCAGACTACTTCAATCTCTGCAGCACCAGTGTCAAGTGCGACTTGCCAGAAATCCTTCCATAGCTCCATGTACTGATGGCCAACATTGCACCCATACGGATAACCATGTGCCCATCCCGTGTTGAGATCTTCGTAGTCGGTGACAGTCGTGATGTGCCCAGCTGACTTGTGCTTCCAAGCTTTGGTGGCCGCCCAGATCTCGCCTGCTCCAGATGTCTGCCAAGGGTAAGGCACTGGTCCAGATGCAGCCGCCACTGTAGCTCCCGCCTCACCAATCATCACAAACGCCCAGCCTGCTTTCGCTCGAACTTCACAGTGGGGGAAGATACAGCTGCCATCTGTGCACACCACACCGCTGATTAGCCCACTAACCGTACACTTGTGCCACTTGATAATGTCATCGAATGTTGGCAACGATGCATAGAAAGTCGGATCTGGCATGAGCCTTTTGGTAGTCATCATCGTGATGGGATGCCCTTGCCCATGCTCTGTACGTCCCCTCGTCAGTAGAGTACGCTCCTCGCCAGTCCAACCGTGTCGCTCCAGCGCGTGCCAGTCGCACCTGAAAATGCGGCTGGTATCGTTGCCAGCTTCCACACCACACATGGCACAGAGTGGGCTATGTACTGCTCGTACCTGATGTAGCCGCTTTTGGCAGTAGAACCCACCAACCAACCATGTCCGTATTAGTCCAGCACCTTTGTAGTCCTCTTGTTGCCGCAGCGTTCTGAAGAACTTTTTTGCTGGCTCCAGCAGTGGGGGGGGCAGCTAGGCCTTCCATGCCTCGAGACTGTGGTACTTCTCGTAGAAGTCGTTGCTGAGTGGCCTGGTTCACGATGCGTTTCAGCGTAGCAGGTCCTATGTCATGTAGATTCAAGTTGGCTCCACGCTCGGTAACCCAACAGTCCAACGAAGTCGCCGTCCAACTGAGCATTTTTAGAGTCATTACCACTGATCCAGCAGGCCCTCGTACACCTCTCCACGTCTTCAGTTGATTCTGCGCTTGCATAAGCGCCAAGGTCATGGCCCTGTGTTTGACCCATTTCCCATGCAGCGCTCTGAGTCAGTATACCAGTGGATGTTCATCCGCAGCGAACGTGGGGGTCTGCTCTGGGACAGTGCGACAACTGAAACTCCACGGTCCTGCACCGTCCTCGCGCCGTACCAAATAAGACATGACCTGCAATGGCTCGCAGTTGCTTCAGCTGCGTATCAGACATACCCTTCACCTTCACAGTGTAAGTTACCGATGCCAGGCCTCCTCCACGAAATAATCGTCCCATCTGCCTTCCACCTTGTGCCAGCCGTCGATATCTCGACATCCTTCGGGACGTAGCCGTCACTCTAGCTTGCTGCACCGCTCCACCAGCTCCTCTTCGTAATGTACGATCATGGCCAAGCTGTCTGACAATTCGGTGCCTCTTGAACTTGTGCTGCTTCAGTGCAACCTCTATCTGCTTCTCGAGTTGGGTGCTGGTGGCGATGACCTGTCCTTTGTTCGTGCTGAGCTCAAGTCCAAGGTTGACCAACTCCTTGCACAGTCGTCGCGCCGCTGGTATGATGACCTGTAGTACTTGCTCGTGCGTTCCAGTAGCCTGCAGGCTTCCATCATCCACCACCTGCGCAAGACTTAGCGAGGGCCACAGTGTGTAGACCTCCTCGTAAGCACCCAGCGTGAATAGCATCATCATTGTGGTGGCAAAGGCACAGCCAGCGATCACTCCATGATTGGTCTTCACCATATCTGAAACCATGTTACCATACCGTATCATACGTCCTCCTGCATACGACTTGAGAAGTAGCGACAGCCGTGACCGCCTGAACCCATGCCTGCACCCCACTGCCCGTAACGTCGCATGCGGCATCTGGTCAAAGGCTTTCTTCAAGTCGAGCATTACCGTAGCCGTATGTCGCTTGAGAGCCAGCCCGGCCTCTGCAAGTAGCGATTGTGTCCACATCGCCTGCTCTGAGCTACGTCCTGCCACCGCACAGTGGTAACTCTTCACATTGTTGTTGAGCCAGTCCTGCTGGCCGTGCTTGTGGCACTTGTTGTAGACTCGTAAAAGATCGGGTAGCAGCCCAATCAGACGATGCCCATCTTCAGGTTTCGGCAACCTGGACATGACGTTGTTGGTCAGCTGAGGTGGCAACTCCCCAATGACCTCTGCCTTCTGCATGATGGTTGCGAAACTTGAGAGTGCGCTACCGGAGAGGAGGGCGACATTCCTCGGGCCGAGGTTGTCTATGCCTGATGCCGTGCTTGCCTGGAACGTAGAAGCAACATTCCGCATGTGGTCTATGTCTAGAATCTTCACGTCTTGATCCGAAGTGTGCATTTGTAAACCTGTATCAAAACTGCGCTCGCCCTCTTGATGCCTCCAAACACGCGTCCACTCTTTCAAGTCTGCTTGAAGTCGTGCAGCATGCGACTGCACGCCTGCCGTTGGGTGAATGTCCATTTGCGTCCACATGGCGGGTAGCTTGGACCATCTGTGTGCCTTCTTTTCGCCTTTCTCGATGGCGTCATCTATGAGCTTCCGCCACTGCTTGACCCAGTCATTCGCGAACTTCACCTCGATACGAGTGGCCTCTTGGCCGCGCTCCAACTAGCATGTCGTAACGATCCCTCCTCCCAGTTGAACTCGTACTCGTATCGGTAGCACCAGATGTCCCATTGCTCACACATGTCGATTTTTTTGTTCTGTAGATTTCTCATCGTCTTGAGCCTGTCTTCGATGAACTTGCAGTCATGTGTCCACTTGCGTTTGAGAGCATGCAACAAATCCACCATGACCATTGCGGCCCTCCGCCAAACTCTTGATGTCGGGTTACCCTGTGGTGACCTCCCTGGCGCCCTGCGCACCGAAGCCGCTAACTTGTACACTGGCGATGATGTCTGCGCTCGTCCTTGACATGATTTGCTGCGCCGATCTTCCGGTTGAACCGTTGGGGAAGCTCTTGATCTACCGAGCGGTGCCATTGGGCAAAACACCCATGTAAATCTTCTTTGTCTCGTACGTAATCGCACTCAGAAAGGACGCGCTGGCACGAAGGCGGGGAAGGCGCTGCCCCCATCGGGCATATCTTCGGGAACTTCTTGGGAATCTTCAGCTGCTGCTCCAAGGCTGCTCCTGGTCCAACTCGCAGTTTCAGCTGTACTCCCCAGTGTGTAGCAATCGAGAGCCCCTCAATCCTGCTGACACTCGTGATGAGACCCTTGATGTGCTTACTGACAACGAAGTAATCAAGGATCCTGCCTTCACCACATGCACATGTCCATTGTGTAGGTGCCACTATCAACGCAGGTACCTGTGGTAAGATCAAATCATGAAGCTCCTCTGGTGTCATGTTCCAGTCACCTCCGATGATGGGGCGTCCCAACCTCTGAAGTTGCTCCAAGACCAGTAGAACCAGCATTTTGTTCGCATCTTCGTATTCTCTTACTTTGTGTCACGGAATCAAATACATAGAACCAAGTATGAAACCGCCAGGCAGCATACCATCGACCCACTGCGTGGTCCATCGCCACTGTGGTACTGTCACGCCTCCAAGGTCTGGCGGTATAGCTGATGCAATATCTTGGCGTTTTCCAACTGCCACTCCAGAACTGGCCGCGCGTCCTTGCCCTTGTCGCGCTGGTGGTATATGGCAGTTCCAGCCTTGATGTTGAAGCCTGAGTCGCGCATGACCTATGCCTGGCTTGAGGATCTTATGCTCTTGAAACAGACTGCCATCCGTATTGGGGTACATTTCCGTGATCTCCGCGGCCACCGTCGTCATCTTCACCGTTTTTTTGCGCAGCTGTGATGTTCACCGTGACAAATGTCCACTCCCGTTCGTGTCGCTCGTCTCCGTCCTGAAGCCGTTGCTCTCGTTGTGCATGTGCGGTGGTGCCTCCACTGCACTCCCCTGGGGGGGCTGCCCACCCGTCGGTAGACCCCCAGGGCGGATCGCCTCCAGTTTGGGCATCGACCACCTGCCCGTCGGCAGCCAGACCAGAGGGTTCAGCACCACCGCAAGAAAGTACCCATCGTGCGCGTGTGGTAGTGCTTCCTCTGCACTCCCCTGTGGGGGCAAGCTTCCCGTCGGAAGACCCACAGGGCGGATCGCCTCCAGTCTGGGCATCGACCACCTGCCCGCCGGCAGCCAGACCAGAGGGTTCAACACTACCACTGGTAACTGAACCAGATGCCAATCCCAAGCGCCTGCACCTGTGCAAAAACTGTTCCACTGCACCGTGAAACTGCCTAGCGGAATCCATCCCAAGCCTTCCACTACCGCCCACTGTATCGTGTGGCTGTCGTGCTGGCTGCTCAATACCATCCAAAGCCTATTCCACCGAACGGTGTACCTGTCGTAGTGCTTGCAGTAGTAGCCCCCAGTCTCCATGTACATTTCCAGCCAGACCGAGGAGGATAAGGAGGAGGAGGAGGATGAGGAGGAGGAGGAGGAGGAGGAGGAGGAGGAGGAGTAGGAGGAGGGAGGAGGAGGAGGAAGAGGAAGAGGAAGAGGAGGGCCATCATTCCCTTCCTGCCTCCTCTTGCCTACTGGTCCTCTTCCCTCTTCCACACTCCGCCTCCCTCCTCGCTCCGCTTTCTTCATCCTGCTAATTTCCTGCTGGTGTCTGCCCCGAGGGAGGACTGTGGAGGACCAGGAGGAGGGAGGCGGGATCAGGGGGTCTGCCTCCTCCCTTCCACTGCTGCTCGACGTCTTCTGTACATGTTCTTCACCCTCCTCCTCCTCCTCCTTCTCCTCCTCCTCCCTCTGAGCCGTTCCAGGTGCTCGTGCGCCGGCGGCCTTCTGACTGCACGTGCAGTCCCGCTCACCTCCCCTCCCACTTGCCTTGTCTCCGCTGCCGTGCGGCGGCTGCGGGTGCCAGGCTGGAGTGGGTCGTGGCGCACCCTCGTGGTCGACCCCTTGGCCAGGGGTGAGTCGCTGGCAGTGCCACGAAGCCTTTTATAGCATCCATGAATTATTGTGTTCGCCTGCCTGCCGGCGAACCCCCAGCAGTTCGACGTGTTGGCGCCGCGTCAAGGAAAGGCAGGTGCGCATTTGTTTAGCGACCTTCACAGATAGGGTCGGGCGGTCTTGAGCATCGTATTGCTGCCCTGGTGTGCGACGAGCTCATGCGCAATAGCCTCCCTGCGCTGTGGGTGCAGCGTGTCCACATGAATCTCCGTCACGTGGTCTCTGTCGACCACTGCCATTCGAAAAAGCGATGGCGAAACGCACATCAGCATTATCTTTTTCGTCCAGTTGCCTGCCCTGCTGATCCCCCTGGTGGTGGCGATCGTATAGGACGTGGTGGTAGTCATGCCGAGTTTCTGGGAGGTGGTCCTGCTGATCCTCCTGCGGGTGTCCGGCCTCCTGCTGATCACCGTCCTGACATTCTTGGCGACGCTCATGATGCCCCGCATGCAGGTTATCGTGATGCTCCTCGTGACGAGGCTTGTGACGGTGGCGGTCTGAACGGCCTGTCCGTTCTTGGGGAAGATGCGCGTGCTAATCCCTACGGCAGCTTGTACGCCCTCCTGCAGGACATTAGCAAGAGGACTGCGACGCGCGAAGACCCGATGCTGCGGTGCGCTGGTTCTCACGATGGGCCTCGTGGAGGCGTTCCTGGTGGTCCTCGTCTAAGTCTTGTGCCTGCCGCTGATCATCGTAGGGGCCATCTTGGAGACTTTGGGTGCTCATCGATACGGGGATGCTGGTGGCGTTCCTCGCGGTGGTGCCCGGACCGTCGGAGGTGCTCGCGCTGAGAGCCCGTGTGGAATTCGGGGCGGTGTCCACGCTCGTTCTCACGGAGGCGCTGTGGGCGCGAGCACGACGACATCGTTGGCAGAGTGCGCCTGCGGCGATGCGCGGCGCGGGGCGGCTCGCGGCTGGCGGCGTGGCGCAGGGGCAGGGACGGGGGCTCTTCTCTGCTCGTGTCTTGTTTTTTCTGCCGCCTGTCCTCGTTGTTTGCTTTGGGCAGTGGCGCTTTTCCTCCTTCCTCGTCCTCCTCTTTCTGGGCCGTGCCTCTCATTAGTTGCGCACCCCCCCGGCTGATGAGGTCGTGCACCTTCCTTCCGGGGAGAGCCGAACCGAACCTCCTCTTTCATTGCTCTGCCTGGCACAGGCTCGCTCGCTTGGCTCGGGGTCCCGCGGTCCGCCCTGCGGTTCGGTTCGGCCCCTCGGGCCCTCGTCCGTTCGGGCCTCCACGGAGCTCGCGCACTGACGCCAAAAGCCTGCGCGACAAGAAGAGCTTTGCCTCGCTCCTCTTCTTCTCGTGCTCTTCCGTCATTCCTCCCTCATTCCTCCTCCTCATCCTCCTCTCGTCATCCTCCCTTCCCCTCACCCTCTCGTCGTCGTCGTCGTCGTCGTCCTCCTCCTCCTCCTTATCCCTCCGTCCCCCCTCCCCATATCGGCCTCCCCCCCGTCTTCACTATTCCATCCTCCCCTCCCGACTCCCATCCCCCTGATCTTCCATCCTCGCCTTCCTTCCTCCGCGCCTCACGCCGTCTCCTCAACCTCCTTTCCTGTCCTTCAGCTCTGGGTCATTATTCTTCTTCCTCTTCGTATTCGGTTACGCTTTTTTTGGTATGCGTATACTTGTTATGTGTTTCGTTTCTTGGCATTCGTGTTGTTTCCGGTGGTCTCATTAATGCTTGTACCATTCTTACTCCTAATTCTGTTAGCATCATTATTCGTGTTCGCATTCGCTGCCGTATGTTTGTTCATATGTTTCTGTGCATTATAACTAATATGGTTAAGACTACTGTTAACACTTTCTTGATCATATTTTTGGTTTTCGGAACATATTCGTATTACTATTCTCTTCATCTCCCCATCACATCCTACTCGTCCCCCTCCTGCCCCCCCCCTCCGAGTTGGCATGAAGGACGCCAGTCCTGACGGAAACGGGTCATGGACTCTGCTCCGAGGTTTTTCCCCAGGGTCATACCTGCATCCTAAGCAGTTTGTTGACGGCCACGGGTCCTGGGGAGGGCCCCGAGGGTTCCGAACATTGGCCAACATGTATAGGCCCGTTACTATCATGACCCCGTTCCTCTATCTCGTGGCGGCCGTGCTTCCTTGGCCGAGGTGAATCCAGACTACGACTGGTCGCGGACTACGCAGGAGAACCACACGGTCGAGGGTTCCAGATCGGTTCGCCCTCGCGAGGGGGGGGCAGCCCAGCGCGGCCCATGTTCCTGAGCCTTGGTGGCAGGAGGAGGAGGAGGAGGATGAGGAGGAGGAGGAGAAGGGGACGGAGGAGAAGGAGGACAGGACGATACATGACAACACGACGAGGACAATGCAGGACAGGTAAATGAGCGGAGCAGCGCTGTTGTGTTCTTGCCCGGTGTCGGAGGCTATTGGCTTCCTCTCCCCTGGGGCTCCCTGAGACGAGGCGGAGAAAGAGACAGAGAAAGAGGAGGAGGAGGAGGAGGAGGAGGTGGAGGAGGAGGAGGAGGAGGAGGGAGGAGGAGGGAGGAGGGAGGAGGGAGGAGGGAGGAGGAGGAGGAGGAGGATGCTGATGATGATGATGATGATGCTGATGATGATGATGATTATCATGATGATGATGATGATGATGATGATGATGATGATGATGATGATGCTGATGCTGATGCTGATGCTGATGCTGATGAGGATGATGTTGAGGATGATGATGATGCTGATGCTGATGACGATGCTGATGATAATGATGATGATGATGATGATGATGATGATGATGATGATGATGAGGGTGATGATGATGCTATGTGATGATGATGATGATGATGATGATGATGATGATGATGATGATGTGATGATTGATGCTGATGGATGGATGTGATGATGGTGGGATGGATGATGATGCTGATGATGATGATGATGATGATGATGCTGATGATGATGATGATGATGATGATGATGATGATGATGTGATGATGATGATATGATGATGATGATGATGATGATGATGATGATGATGATGATGATGATGATGATGATGATGATGATGATGGGGAGGAGATGATGGTGGAGGTGGAGAGGTGGAGGAGGAGGAGGAGGAGGAGGAGGAGCAGGAGGAAGAGGAGGGCAGGAGGAGGGAGGAGGAGGAGGAGGAGGAGGAGGAGGAGGAGAGGGGCAGGAGGAGGAGCAGGAGGAGGAGGAGGAGGAGGGAGGAGGAGGAGGAGGGGGGGGGGAGGAGGGAGGAAGGAAGAGGAGAAGAGGAGGAGGAGGAGGAGGAGAAGGAGGAGGAGGAGGAGGAGGAGGAGGAGGAGGAGGAGGGGGTGGAAGATCGGCAGGCTGAGCCATGAGGCGGGGAGGAGGGGAATGAGAATGAGGAGGAGGAGGAGGAGGAGGAGGAGGAGGAGGAGGAGGAGGAACGGGAGGAGGAGGAGGAGGAGGAGGAGGAGGAACGGCAGCAGCAGGAGCGGGAGGCGCAGCATGCATGAGCAGGGCGGGAGGAAGGGGAGGGCGAAGGGCCCAGCGCTCCTGGGAGGCGCGCGCGCGTTGGCCGCGACGGGTCGGTCCTGGTGAGGCTCGCGCGGCATGGACGTGCGTTGCCTCCTCCTCGTCCTCCTCCTCCTCCTCCTGCTCCTACTCCTCCTCCTCCTTGTGTTCCTCCTGATCATTCCCCTTCTCCTCCCCCTCCTCCTCCTCCTCCTCCTTCTCCTCCTCTGACCCCCAGGAGCGTTGCTGCTCTCCCGTATAGCTTCGCGCGCTGGCGTGGGCACGGCAGCGCTGGGCAGCGCCTGCGCGCAGGCTCGAAATGGCCGTCCTGCTGTGGCCCGCCTACGCCGCCGCGGTAGCCGCCGGCGCCGGTGTGGATAAGCTGCCCCTCTCCGAGACCCCTCGCTCCGTCGCCCCCTCCTCCCTCCGAGATCGGGGCGAGGGGGGTGAAGGGAGAAAGGGAGGGCGAGGTGTACGGGAAGTTCGCGGGCATCCGCGAGGGGATGGATTTCGAGTACCACGGCTGCTACAGCGCCGCGAGGACGAAGCTGCAGGATCTCGCCGCCTGCGTGCAGTGCAACATGATGCCCGTGCGCTGTGCAAGTGGTCTTCGCCTCCCGTCGATTACTTGTCGGAGTGAGGGGGCGGAATGGTCCTGCACTGTCCCTGGGTGCTTGGCTGGAGTGGGGATCCGCGGCGCGGATTCTCGCATTGTCATTCCGACGTGTTAGTATTGTTAATGTTCCCTCCAGTGCTCCTTACGCTGTTCAATGTAAGTGCCACCCCGGGGATCGCATCCTTTTTTTACCAGGGCTCAGGCTGTGTTGCTGGCCCCAGTTTTGACATACCAGCAGCAGCACCAACAACTGCAATATCAACAACAACAACAGCAGCAGCAACAACAACAACACCTCCAGCAACAGCAGCAACCCCACAACACACAACAACCAACAACCACAACAACAACAACAACCACAACAACAACAAGAGCAACAGCAACAGCAACAGCAACAGCAACGACGACAACGACAACGACAGCGACAACAACAACAACAACAACACCAACAACATCAACAACCACACCAACAACAACAACAGCACCACCACCACCAACAACAACAAAAACATCAACACCAACAGCAACAACAAGCGCACCAACAACAATAGCAGCAACAGCAACATTACTAACAACAGTTCCCGCTCAATATTCCCGCACAGTGTCTTCAAGATCGCGCTCTCGCGCAGGACTTCGGGACGTCGTTGGGACGTCCTTACACGCTGGAATCCCGCTGTCGCGTGGGACTTCCTCGCAATGTACCGCTTGAACCGCCACGCCCTCGACACTCAGGAATCACGCTCCCGCTCTGGATTTCCCATGATTTACATAGGAATCGTGCGGTCGCTCTAGATACCCTCGCGATTCATGCAGGACTGACGCTTCAGCGACCCGCCCGCTCGACGCGGCCGTCTGGGCCCGCCCGCCCGACCCGCCCGTCAGGTTCTGCCTGGCCGAGCCGCCCGTCTGGTTCTCAATCTTGTTGTCTTACTCCTAACCCTCATGCTAATCTCTCTCGTCCTCCATCCTTCTCCCTCCCCCTTGTGCTCTCCCTCCTCTCTACCTTCCACTGTTTTACGGGCTGCGCCAATTACACTTGGCAGGTAAGGAGGATAGACCCCCAAGGGGATACGATCGAAGACGTAGAGGGTGGGTGTCGAGGATGTCGGATACGCATTTTGAATTTCACGCATGCAGGTAAGAGCGAAAAGTCTTAAACATATTGTTTCTTGTTCTTATTGGCGTCGTCCACCCTGTGACCCACCCGCGATCCACCCCGCGACCCACACTTAGACCCGCCTCGCGACCCATCCCGCGATCCTCCCCACGACGAGTCTGCGACCCTCCCCGCGACCCACCCCACGAGCCACCCGCGACCCCATTGCGTTGACGAAGGATCGGCGCCTGCGGCGGGCTCCTTGTGTAATGTGTAATGCGCAAACAATCGGCGCCTGCATCGGGTCTCTTTTCAAACGTGTTATCGAGCCTCGCAGGTTGCGACTGCGGAGGCTACGATATCCTGAGGCTCTCCCCCCGATCCTCGCCCCTCGCTGTCGTTCCCAGCCCTTGCCTCCCATCTCCGTCCCCTGCAGGGCACCTGCTCCCGCCTCGCTTCCACTCAGGCTCCTCCCCAGCCTTCCCCCCCCCTCCCGCAGCAGAGCCTTTCTCCTTCTCCATCCCTTCTCCCTCCCTCCTCCCTCTCGCTGGACGAAGGATCAGATCATCATGGATTCTGTGGGCGGCGGGGTGGTCTCGGAGCACCCGTGGACCTCAGGGACGGCTGAAATCACGGCCGGACTGAATTGTCTCGTCCTCCATCTTGTCCCCCTCGAAGGAGACGAGGGAGAAAGAGGGGTCTTGGGATTCCCTCTTCTGTTTGTTTTTGGGTAAGCCACGGGGGGGGGGGGGGCGAAACACCCCAAGCCGGACCTTCCCGATCCCTAGTCCCAGGGACCTTGTGGATGTTTTCGCGGACTGTCCCCCAGGAGTTGCAGGCTTCCTTGGGCGTCGCTGCCGGGCCCGGCCAGCGGGCCCAAAGCAGTCAGGAGGGTGGCCAAACAGCCCCACGGGAGCCCCGAGCGGCCCCAGACATCCGCCAGACCCCAGAAGACGGCCAACGAGCGCCTCCCAATACGCATTTCAAACGAAAAAACACATGGACTTCCTCTAGGTTTTTCTCGATTGCTGATGCCCAGTTCATCGGTTTTCCGGGCGTCCAAGGCCGTCCAAGTGGCCCCGACAATCATCCTCAAACGACCCACAAGTGTTATGCAGACAGTCCAAAAGAGCCCCATGACGGCGGGCCCAAGACTGCATCTGAGTATGAGTATGAATGAGTCTTAGTATAATTGAACGAACGATTGGAAGTATGAGTGGAAGAGTGTAAGTAAGCCTGCATATGGCTGGTAAGCTCAGTATACGGGGACCTGGGTATGACCAAGCTGAGATGAGCATGAGTGGTGCGAGGGAGGCCGGTCAGTGCCCTTGGAGAACCTCCGAAGGCACAGAGGGCTCCTCAGAAGGCCGCACGGCGTCCGAGGATGCCTGCAGCCTGCTGAGAAGGCCTGCCCCCTCGACTTCCCCTGCCGCACGGAATTTGAAAGGGGGGATATGGGCCGGCACGTCGAGAATCGTCGTGAAGAAAAATGTGCGGCGGGCGTCGCACAGGCCTCTGGGGGCCGCATATGTTCGCGCTCCTCCTCCTCCTCCTCCTCCTCCTCCTCCTCCTCCTCCTCCTCCTCCTCCTGCTCCTCCTCCTCCTCCTCCTCCTCCTCCTCCTGCTCCTCCT